AAAAAAAAAAAAAAAAAAAAAAAAAAAATTGGAAAGGAAACAACCTGAAGTGGTGAGTGAGTCACGGTACGTTCACATCAGTCAGTAAGGCAAGTCGTAGAGGAAGGCCTTACGTAGAACCTTCTGAGATGTGGGGGGGTATGTTCCATAGCTGTGCTGTCCAGTGAAGTAGCCACTGGCCACGTTTGACTGTGGAGCACTTGAAAGATGGCTAATGAGACAGAGAAACTGAATTTTAAATTTTATTTAAATTTAGTTAATATGGGGAATTCCCTGGTGGTCCATTGGTTAGTATTCTGTGCTTCCACTGCAGGGGGCACGGGTTCTATTCCTGGTTGGGGAACTAAGATCCCACATGCCGCACGGCATGGCCAAAAATAAATAAATAAATAAATTAAAATTAAAATTTTAAAAATTTAAAAATAAATTTAATTTAAATAGCTACATGTGGCCAGTGGCTGCCATATTGGATGGCACAGTCGCAAAAGAATGTTTAATGACCTGGAAAAACGTTTGCAGTAACTTAAATGAAAAAAAACAAGTAGGATGTGTGTTATGATCCTATTTTTGTTAAAAAAAAACATAAACATGGAAAAATACTGGAAGGACACATATCAAAATATTTGATTACAGTGGTTACAGTGATTTCTTTGTGTTTTTCTATACTTTCTAAAATGCTAACAATATACATGACTTTAAATTTTTATTGAGGCTTAACATGCATACAGTAAAGTATGTAAATGTTTGTTTTACAACTTGATGGGTTTTAACATGTGTACACACCTTGGTAACAACCACTCAGATCAAGATGTAGAACAGTTCCAGCTCCTCAGAAGGCTGATGTTTTACTATTTTTATTTCTTGTACTGAGGTCAAATACACATAATATAAGTTAACCATTTTAAAGTTAACAATTCAGGGGCATTTAGTACATTGACAATATTGTGCCGCCACCACCTCAATCTAGTGCCAGAACCTTTCCACCCACCAGAAGGAAACCCCGTGCCCATAAGCAATCATTCCCCATCCCCCTCCTGCCACCCTCCAACCTGCATCCCACTTCTAGGACTCACCTGTTCGGGGGTTTTCCTTTTATTATCAGAACAGCTGTTCTTTATGATTTATGAAGAGGATGGTGGCCCCATGCTGTGGATCTTTCTAGAGGGAAGGCTGTGTTTGAGGGCGAGCTTCCTGGAAGAGGTGGAAGCTGGGCCCTCTGCTGGCCACGTGCGCCTCCCACTTAGCTCTTGTCCTCCACAGGCAACTCATCACCATCCGCAGTGCCCGCCTGCTGTCGCGGCTGCGGCCGGCCAGCGCCAACAGCTACGAGTACCTGCAGTGGCAACAGGTGAGGTGAACAGGTGGGGGTCCAGGTGCCAACAGAGACGCAAACTCCAGTTCCAAGATGCAAAGGCTGTCCGGGGCACTGTAGCCGTCTGCAGGGGAGCCGTCCTGGCTGGTGGGGCTGCAGACAGGCACGTGAGGTGCTCATGGGGAGAGGAACGGACCGGTTATCGGGCATCTGTCATGGGCCAAGAACTGTTAAGGGAGGGAGCTCACACCCCCCATTTAAAGCTCACACCCCACTGTGAGCTAGGGTTGATGGGCCTGCTTCCAGCTGGAAGAAGTGACTCATGACCCTGGGTCCTCTGTGGGGCTTGCTGCGGCCGGGCAGGCACAGTGCCAACCTCTGTGACAGACCTGACCTCGTTGAATCCTTACACCTTACCTCTGAGGTCATTCTGCTATCATCCCATTTCACAGTTGAAACCGAGGCTCAAAGAGCTTGAGCAACCCGCCCGAGGTCTCACAGCTAGTGAGTGGCGGGCTCTGGCACCTAAACCTGCAGGTTTCCTCTGCCACGACTAGCTCCCTGGGCCCCAGCCCTGCCCCTCATCCCCTGACACCCCACAGCTTCATGGGTGCTTCTGGCTCCCAGGCCCCCAGGCCCGAGGGTACGTCTGGCCAGGTGGGGAGTGATGGCTGAATAGCAGCCACAGCCACATGAAGGGGAGGGACATGGGGGCCTGTGCCCAGTGACCCCACCCTCACTCGCCTGACTCCCTCTTGGGATGAGAGGTTAAGAGGGACATCCCTGGCGGTCCAGTGGTTAAGACTCTGCGCTTCCACTGCAGGGGGCGCCGGTTTGATCCCTGGTCAGGGAACTAAGATCCCACATGCCGCTCAGCGTGGCCAAAAAAAAAAAAAAAGAAGAAGTTAAGATCCTGCATTTGGCAGGCCAGACCAGGGCTCCAGGTCTGGGAGAACATGGGTCTCAATTTTCCCCTCTGCCCCGACGGTGCCTGTCTGTATCCACACACCAGGCTCCAGGCCTGCCCGGCTGCATCACCCAAGCTGAAGCTGGAAGAAATTCCAGTTTTCCCTCGCTACTGGCCAGGCCCTCGGACCCAACCTGAGGCTCCTCTGGGGTGGAGGGGTCTCCAAGTGGCTGCTGACCCCCTTGCCCTGCCCCGGGGAACAGCAGCAGCTGCAGAAGCTCCAGAACCTTGCAGCCCTGGAGGGGAGCCTGGACTCGCTGGGCACCCAGCAGGACTGGGGTGACGGCCCCGGAAATGATGCCAACCTTGATTTCAAATCATGTAACTTGTCGACAATCTACCCCTACAGGGACTCTGAGTTGTTGGACTATGATTCCATGAGTCAGGCTGCAGCCCCTGGTGGTGGGCAACCCTGGGGTAAGCCAGGCCCTGCTGCCCCTGTGAACACTCCCTTACCCGGGGCCCTGGGCCGCCCAACAGGCCAAGGTGGACATCCTGGGAGTGGACGGGATCCTGTACAAGGGCCGAATGAACAGCAAGGACAGGGCGTGGCCTCTGACCGACACAGAGAAGGAGCTGGCAGGTGAGGAGCATCAGGCCTTCCTGGGCACCCCTGCCCCGTGTCGTGCCTTTGCTGGGCATTGTGAGGCCCAGTGTGATGCAGGTGGGGCCCAGGGCCGGCGACATCTGAGACTGGGGGCTCCTCACACAGCCACTCGCAAACATGGGATCCTGCTGTATGCCAGGCACTGTACTGGGACAGCTTGTGACAAGGGATGCTGGGGAGGGGTACTGGATGGCCTCCCCAAAGAAGGAATGCTGAGTGGTGATGGGAGAGTTGTGACAAGGGCCACTGGTTCAAGGAGGAGGTCCTAGACTGTTGTCCTGAGGCCTCTGCAAAGGGAATAAGGCTTAGCTGGATAAAGGGGTCAGGTGGGAGGAGAGTGATCTGGGGGAAGGGAACAGCAGGGCGAGGGCCCTGTTGTGGCTGGAAGGCAGGCACACTTAGGAACTCGGGAAGGTGAGTCTGCCTGGAGTGGGAAGATCGGGCTGGGGTTGGGCATGATGAGAGGAGGACGCCAGGACAGACTGGAGGCCTGTGTCCTAATTGTCACGGGTTGGGGAGGGTGGGGCCAGAGGGAGACGTGGAATGAATTGCTCTGGTTACTGCAGTGTCAAGGCCCTGGCTCCAGCTGGCTCCGACCGGGGACCCCGGGACTCAGCTCCTGCACTGGGCCAGCAATACCTTCTCTGCCTGCCCCTTTGAGGTTACCCTGCTCTGGGAAGAGGGGTTGCACACACTGCTCTACTGGGGCTGTCCAGGAGCCACAAAGTGGTCAGGGGGTTAAATTCCGCCCATGGTGTCCCTCCTCACCCCACTTTGCCTCCATTGACTTGAGAACAGACACCTAAGCAAAGGAAAGGGGACTCTTTTCCTGGGTGTGCTGGACAGAGAGGACAGCACCCTGCTTCAGTGTCCTAGGGCTGCAACAAATGACCACCAATTGGGCGGCTTAAGACAATAGAAATTAACTCTCACAGTACAGGAGGCCAGAAATCCAAAATCAAAGTGTTGGCAGGGCCATGCTCCCTCTGAAGGCCCTAGTGGAGGATCCTTTCTGCCTCTTCCAGCTTCTGGGAGCTCCAGGCATTTCTGGGTTTGTGGCTGCATCACCCCTGTCTCTGCCTCCTTCTTCGTGTGGCTTCTCCCTGTGTCTCCTCCTCTTCTGTCTCTTAACTCAGATGCCCTCATCTGAAGATCCTTCACTTAATTACATCTGCAGAGACCTTTTCTTTAAACAAGGTCACATTCACAGGTTCCAGGGGGACACATCTTTTGGGCAGCTGCCATTCAACCCACTACAGGCCCCTGCCCTGGTCCAGGGGGCAGGTCACCATCTTGAACCCTGCATTCCCCCTGGAGCATGGATGTGGCCCTTACAGTGTTAATGGCTCCACCTGGACGATGCCCCCGGACGCAGATGCTGTCGAGAAGAAACTCAGGCTGGGCCCCTGGGATCACCAGGCAGGATAACAGCAATGGTGGCCAATATTTAATGAGCTCAACTTCTTGCCAGGCCCTGCACTGCCTCCTCTCACCCTGCACCAGCTGGTGAGGCATTACACAAACAAGCGGGTGAGGGTCACTTGCTGGGAGCCCACCCTTGGTGGAGGGGTCAGGGTCATCTACAGACCCGCCCTTTGTCTCCAGTCATCCATCGGATGGCGTCCCCACCCAGCTCCCCAGGGCTTGTTTGTTCTCCAGACCCATGCAGCAAAGCAGGAAAGGATCAGGATGGCGCAAAT